ACCCCCCCCCCCCCCCCCCCCCCCCCCCCCCACGTTCCCATTGGTCTATATTTTAATCAATAAGGGTCGATCTTGCCAACCATTCAAGTAGATTGATTAGTCAACAGTCTCAGATTATCACGAACATGACTGCCCTCGGAAACCCCCGTGGTAAATTATGAAAATAGAACTTTAAACAGTACTCATAGTTCCTTTTAGGAAAGTGGATAACTCAGTGCTTCTAGGTATTCAATAATGTAGGAATCTTGGCATCTTAGCTACTAGGTAACCTCGTTCTATTCCCCCACTGTACCATTTTGATATTTCCTGGGTTTAAACTAGCGAAACCTCGTTTCAATGCCATGAGAAATAAATGTTGGGTAGAATTTATGTTTTTCGATTTCATTAAAATACCACATATTATACAGCAGGCTCAACTTTAAAATATGCGCTTAAACCATCCAGATTTCCAGTATCGTCATCTGAGTGAGAGGTGACTAGGAATTGATGAGTAGAATAAGTCAGAAGTGTTGGTATGGCGGAAGCAAGAAAGCCGTCCGAATATTCTAGAACGTTCGAGATGTTATGCCAATCACACTATGGAGCGGAGACGCGGTCACAATCAATAAGGCAATCAATAGTCATGTCATTATCAATGGAACCGAAATTGCCAGCTACACACACATCTCAACACACATACAGCCCAAATAAACGCTTTCAGTTAAGTGACTATTTCCTCTATATCTTTGAGATAGGGTTAGCTAATCCCGGGAGCCATTCTAAACAAGGAGATCTGAACATGAGTCATATGCATTAAAATAAGAATAGAACGATCATTATTTTAATAATTACTACTATTAGCATATACGTCAGACGAAAAGTAAATTTCATTCTTTGTAAAAACAGAGCATGACAATAGAGTAATAGAGTGGCGCCCTTGTCATGATTAAATTGGAGTCACTGGGGCTCAAAGAAAGATGTAGTCAAGGCTTGAAAGTGCGCACATGAGTCAAGTAGACGGAAGAGGGAGAATGTTTGGTAAAAAGAATGGACTTTCTTTAAAAACAATGCGATCGTAGTGATGAAGATGAGAAGTTAGGAATAGATTTGCGTGATTAGTCAAATACAAGGGGTGGGGGTGTGGAAGAGGGACGTGAAAAGGTCAAATGCTAGCCGCATAAGGCGTCGATCCATCAGGATATGGTCGCTATTACTCATAGCTGTTTTGAGTAATACGATACATCAGCCCCCAGGCGTATTCGCTCCTAGGAACGAAAGAAAACACCGAGAGTTAGTTCAAACAAATCAGTCTCTACCACGAATACTAATTTTGGTATAAGCACACACACAGACTCACCTGTTGGCGAGCCAAATCGGAGAGATTGGGATTAATACGAGCAGCATGGCTCAATTGAGCTAAATGCACCAGATCGCAGGAAGCATCAGGAAGTGAACTGGCATCAGACTCGGCCACATCCAGCCATTGGTGATGGGAAGATGTGTCTAGGTGATTGGTGGTTGGTTGACTGTTGACAAGGTTATTAGAGGGTGACAACCAAGCGGAAGAAATAGCTGTCTGATGGTGACCGGGAGTGGGTGATTTTTTAACCGAATTGGAGAGGGAGAAGTCACTATCAGAGCCCTGGTAATTCTGGAGGAGAATAGATAGGACATTTGCATTTGAAAATCAATTAATTGTTTTCTTTAAGTTCAGTGGTTGAATGAAGATTAACTTACATGCCTAGCGATATAAGCCATTCCAGGTGAATTCTTTCGAGTTAAACCATCAGAATCCTTCATCATGTAGCAGTCATTTGGTGCATTCAAAGAAGAGTTCATCGGTAGACCGCTGGCCTGGTTACCTCGATTGCTGATCAGACCATCATCTTCCTCCGTATGACCAGGGTACTTCAAATGCGGTACCAAACCCGTTTTCTCCCCAATATAGGAGTCACCATCTTCCGTAGGTGGTTGGTAGTATGGATCGATTTCTATTAAGGAATAAAATGCATAATTAAACTTCAAATTGCTTTGTGAAGCTTCCAAGAATGAGCTATTAAAAAGTTGAAAGTAGTCAAACGCAACAACCTCGCCAGCCAATAAGAAACTAGCAGAACAATCATGATAAAGGGCGAAAATAGGGTAATTTTGGGCCTCAAATACACTCAACCACATTGTACCATGCTCTAGAGGGGGCCAGTGGTCAATGCAGAAAGATGGTGCTTCCTTTCACATTTTTACGCTATAAACCCTTTAACGCCCAAAGTTTATTTTTGAAAAATGCACCTGACCGCACTTACGCGTGTCCCACAGCAGACTGATGACCCCGATGTGATGAATTTTGATGGTGTATCAGGCGAAGGCTATAGACGTATTAAACATGCTTCAAACGACAATAGCACCTTCTGTCATGGGTCTAGTACCAATGGAGCGTCCTAAGAGCAAATCTTGAGCACAGGGGAAATTATTTCATTCTCAAAATTGATGCCAAATGCATTTGAAATCACTACTTTAAGCAATTCTGCATACCCAACTCTCTCATTCGTGTTGACATTCAATGTGTTGATACCAGTCAACAAAATACAGATTTATCAGAGGAGCTTGAACCTACCGCCTTGAGACGAGAGTTGCGTCGTACAGTAGTAAGGAGTCGAAGTTACAGGAGGTAGAGGTGGCGGTGAGGGGAGTTTATACTGTCTAGACAAGAGACCACCTGCTGAGGGAGGGGTCGGTGGAACTGCTGATGAGGGATTCCAAGACGAAATTGTGACGACTGCATTGCCATTATTGGTTGACGTCGATGCATTTGCTAGCCCCACTCCACCCGCTGCGTTCTTTCGACACTCTTCACAGTCTGATCCTCCCGTACACTCCACCTCCTCCCATTCGGAGTCCTCTTGGTCAGTGGCGGACTGAGGCGGCTCCTGTCCTTGTTGATTGCTGCCGCCATTCATCTGCTGATGGTGGTAAGTGGTCATTCCACCATGATGGGCGTCCTTCGAGGAGTTGAAGGATTGGAGATCTGCAATTGGATATTAGCATTCGTTAAGCAAAATAAAATAATGAAGTCCCATTATTGCAGTTGCAGAGCTTAAAATCCTCAAATTATCTAGGATCTTTTCTTTCCTTCTCTTTCAAAAGTAGCATTAACGAAGCCAATTCAGTCGCAAAAGACTCAACGGCCATAATCAGATGACAGTTGTTCATTTCGCCATTCGTTCGAATGCTTCCGAGGCTTCATATCCATTACCGAGGCGTCTATAAACTCCAGGACTGAAAATGAGGACCAATCGGAATGAATCTTAATCACGGGCTATCGATATTATTATTATTACCAAACCAACCTCACGTATTTTATGATAATATTTGAATCACGACGAGCCAATTAAGTTCTTGAGCTATTCTTAACTATGAGAAACGCCTCTAATTTCACATAATATAAAGTGTAAATTAAATTAGACTTTTGCGCTAACTAAAATTGCAAGAAAGTAGGAATCACTGCAAGTAAGTATCTAATATTTTTTCATATTTCTCGTTTTGGAGAGGAAAGCTATAGTGGAAGGTGAGTTCAGAGAGCTGAAGTAGTTTTCGACATAGTTTGAGTTTTTATTAGATTTGGTCTGACAGCATGAATGCCACTATGTGTATTGACTGTCCTCATCATTAATATAGCCCAATCACTTCACACTACCTGATCTTTAAACTGGATCTCCTTCGGTTCTTCCAGTGTAACAACTTCTACGTGGAATATTCTTGCATGGAATTGAATTCTTCTGACTAATAGCCTGAATGAGCTGATAGCAGAGTGTTAAGTATATCTAACCATTTGAGAAATATTCATACGATGTATGGTGCGTACATGTATGTGTAAATGTCAACGACAAGTGTCAAATAGGACTAACCGTTTTGTCCAGGTTCAAATAAAATTCCCGAAGCCCTAGCCAAGCTAATTTCATCTGTCTGCTGTTCCGCATTGCACAGAATTGTTGGCACTTTGTGGTTTTGGATTCCAATACTACTCTCCGCCTCCTCCGAACTCATTCGATACCTGCGACTCGTTCCAGTGCGTCTACGCCTGTGACACCTACGATGACATGGTGAGGAATTTGATGAAGTGGATGCTGTTGTAGTGGTCGGAGGCGTTGTGGATGTGTTGGTTGCGGAGGTCTCTTCACTGCTCTGTTGGTGTCTACGATTTGGATGACCGCCGTGATGATGATGATGATGCCCATGGCTGTGTGATCGATGACCTGAGGAGGACTTGCGTTTGGATTGACGACGTTTATGTCGATGGTTCTAGCGTAAAAATCAAAGAAGATTCGTTTAACAAACTCTACGAATACACACACACACATATATATATATATATATAGAATGAATTATCCGTTACCATGCCTTGATACTTGTCTCAGTCACCGTCTTAAGTTATTATTATTATTTCAAATGGCAGGCTTTATGATATTTATCATTAGCCCTTACACTTCGACTTCAGCTTTCCCAAGGGTGGGGGGGGGGTACATATAGCAGTTAATTAATAGCGGTTCATTAGCGGTCTTCTTGCTTCCCAGTATCTCTGAGTTTACCGTCGTTGACTTTAGGGCTGGACACCGAATCAGGTGGGTCTTCTCCATTTCCTCCTGTAAGTTATATAGGGGGCATGTGGATCGAGTGTAAACTCTGAATTTGTGAAGATGTTTTGCCAGGCAATCGTGTCCGGTACGTAGTCTAAACACAGCAACGGCTTCGATTCTTGGCCAGTCGGATCTGTCGGAGAGTGCCACTGTCCACTGCTTCTCCTTTGTTCGAGCTTTAAATTCGTTGTACCTTGAGGTCTTGAATTCTCTCCTGATTAAGGTCTTTATTGTGTGGAAAGGCGTCGGCCGGTCAACGCCTTGCAATTTTGTTGTCCCCTTCTTAGCAAGTGCGTCAGCAAGCTCATTGCCTTTAATGCCATAGGAACATTTGAGGTTGGCCAAGACTTATTAGGGACCTTACAATGCAGAGCATAAGTATGTTTTTTGAATCTGCTAATCTTGACCGTAGTAACACAGTAAACGAGTTGATTGGCAGCGGTTCACACGCCAATCGGAGATGCTCGTCTACTTTTAGTGACCAGTTCCGAACACTAACGAATTTGAACTCAAGTGTGGAAATCTAGCTATCAAATATCAACACTCTGGAACGTTTTGCTTGTGATGATTTAGTACGTGCACAGCAAACAACAAACAACCTGATTAATTCGAGATTCAAATGAGGTAGGGCTCTTTTGATGCCCCCGATTTTTTGCTCCAATCCCACCAATTTCATTACTTTTAAATAAACTAACCAATTATTCCGCCCCCCCCCCAGCCCCACCATTTTGCTGTCGTCACATGATTATGAATTTATCGATTCTTATATGGTAATAATGCTCACCTTGCGTTTGCATTTTCCACCAGTTTCACGAGCAGTTGAGCAAGTGCTCGCTGAATCCGAAATCAGGCCACTTCGTTCTCCACCCTCTTCGTCTCCACTATTTGTTGCAGAGGTCACGAAGTTTGTCGAATTAGTATCATCTGTTGCCCTGCTAGTGGAATAGGAGCTGGCAGATGAGAGCGAGGAGCTCGTTGACCCCGTGCTTGAACCACTTGATGGTGATCTAGATCTTGAGACTGAACTCGAAGTTGAGGAGCTTGTGGAAGACATTGATGAGCCACAGCGATGCTTCTTGCTCACAGTACGTTTGGAGGAGTGCTTACGCCTCTTGGAAGAACTGGGATTAACATTGGTGGAGTCAGCGAGATCCAAACCAGTACCTTCGTGTTTGTTTTTCAAGATGCCCTTCTCGGGTTGACGAGAGGAATTTTCCCGGATAACAGTCACTTGAGGAACAGGTTGCTTGAAAGGCGAAAGAGGACATAAGCCAATAGACTGCGGTGTGTATATGATAACTAACATCTAATTATAATTGTTATAATACATGACTGGATATCTGTTATGGATCCTCACTTGCTACCGCCTAGCAGTGAATCAGATGTTTTACACATATACTCCCCCCCCCCTAGGTCAGATTAAAAACGCTATGTCCATTTTTTCGTTTTCGATTCTTTCCTTCTCGAACAATCTCATTTGTCACATTACCAATTCATGTCAGTCGGATTTGAGTAGGTGGGTTTTCATTGCTAAACTTAGTAGGAGCCTCTATAAAGCTGTAGACATTGGTTCTTACTTTTAAAACTGGTTTTGAGAAAAGGCGCTTTTATTCGACCAATAAGTTATTCTCTCAAAAAGGGACCTTTGCAATTCTGAGAAATACTTATTTGTAGATGTTGGCTTCTAACGCTCGGAAGATGGCGCATGTAGGTTGCGCGTCGTAATATCAAAGCACTTTGCACCTCTCTCATTTTTTGTGATTCTTTGTTCTACTCCTCTCTCGCTTTCTCTAAGTTCTTATGTGTGCAATGACTGCATGATCTTTCTCAAACTTATAACCTCCTATTTTGGTAAGAGTTGTCTCGCCAATTGAGTATCTCAGTCTATAAGAAATTGAGCTGACTGAATAAAGTGCTACCTTAAAACATGATTACCATACTTACATCAACTTCTTCAGTTGAAATTGTCGAAGTGGTCATAGCCTTCCTCGTTGACTGAACACTCATCATTTCGCCATTACTTCCACCTTCCATTCTACTCGATGCAAGCATTTGCATCGGTGATGACATTGGAGGTGTCATATTAACAGTCATTCCAGTCGATGTCACCGCCGCAGACATATTCGGAGACATCCATGACACTGGCGGTTGTTGAACATAGACCTGATTTCCAGATGATGATTGCATCACAAATGCTTGTTGAAGTGGAGGTGGGGGTGGTGGTATTGACCAGGCAGCAGAAAAATCGATAAGAGGGGGTGGCGGAGGTAGGTGAGCGCTAGTCGTCGCTGTTAAACTGTTTGTCACCACTGGCGTCTCATTAGCGGTAGTTCCAACCACTGTTCCTCCACTAGCATCTCCATTTCTCGCATTTTTCATCTTATCCTCTCGATAGGAGGGCATAGAGCCGAATTTGATCTTCCCCTCTTTCACTGAGTCATCGCGACCACCTAATTCAGGCCCAGATTCAATCGCGCCATTATTTCCAGCTTGAAGACTGTCACCACTAGAATAACCACCCCTCTTACGCCTTCGATTTCGATTCTTCGAACCGTGTCTATGTCGACGATTGCGAGAGTGCCTGGAATGGTAGTGCAATTCCATATCATCTAAAGAGGCTCCTCCCGGTCTAGAATTTCTGTTGCAGAGACACATCGAATCCATACTGTTAGCGGCTGTTGTTGATGCTGTTCCTTGACCAGGAGATTTCGAATCAAAGAGAGGTGGAGACAGTCGCGTCTGATTTGAATTGAAAGCTCGTTTGTTCAAATGATGAAAATCACGCTTATGCATGTTGCGACGTCTACAAAGGTGCAGAAATTCCACATAATGCTTTTGACAACGCAATGTATTACTGATATCATTTAAGTACCAACCTGTAAAGGAATATAATTGCACAGAGACAGAAGAAAACGCAAACTATCACCGCTGCTAATATGGATATTAGAAAGACGGTGTTAGATGGCACGGATTCAGTTAGTCCTTCTAAGTAGAAGAATAAAATAATTGATAAATGCTTAAAGATTTAGGGCAAGAAAACAGCTAAAAAACTTAGCATACCCGGATTCTTATCGACTGTTTGAATGTACATCCATATTAAACTTGCAATATCTTCATCTGGGTACACGGAGGCATGAATATTGCCAATACTTTGTTTAATCAGAGAGGAGTTTTGATTGGTTGATGGTTGACGTTGAGTGCAAGAAGGGCCATGCCAACCCGGTGGACAAAGGCAGAAGGCTCCGTTGGTGCATATCTAAAGAAAATGCACATCTGATTACAAAAAACCATCCTACTGAATTAAATTTTAGTAGAAATTCAATTTTACCCCACGACCAGCGCATGTGATATTCACGGGTGAATTAGTGAAGACTGGCAAACTACGACGCACAGCTGGATGAATGAAATCAGCATTAGCACCATCTTGGAGGGGACCGATATAGGGCCCTTTAGGACATTTTGAATGGACAGCAATGCCAGTAGGTTTGATACAACGATTTTGGAAACAAAATCGACCTTCATCACACGACGCTCCTTCAGGAACGTAACTGAACTTCTGTGTGCTAGCCACGTATCTAAAGCAATAAAAGAGAACTTATCTATCACATTCCCCAGATAGCTGTAAAATGATAGAATTGGTAGCACTTACTGGCAATGTATTTTCTGGTTTTCATTTTGAGTTCGCAGGTTGAAAAAACTCAAAGATCTAGCTTCATTAAGAGCAGGTTCATCATTTCCATTTTGACAATGCAAAAGTCCACACATTGTGTTTCTAAAAGAATATTTAAAGTGAGATCCACACACTCAATATTTACTAGTTGCTTTAAGAAGTGGAAAACTTACTCTTCTTCACAGACTACCCCATTACCGCAAGCAGAATCGATCTTCTTGTTCATATTTGTGTAACAATAGTCATCAGCCGTTCGAGCATTAGGTCCCCAAAGGGCTTTGCAGTGGCTACTACGAGTAGGACATCTACCTTCGTAGCAAAGGCCCTCTTCTACGTCATGATTCTTTCCCACTCCTTTACATCGCATTCCATTCTCAAGGTAGAGATCTGCGGGACATTCCGGCTGGATTAAAACAAGTAAAGTTTACTTAATTTTATTTAAGTAGTATTACGATTATGAAACGAAAATAGATGAACATACGTCTGCTCCAGAGCAAAATTCTGGCAAATCACATTGATCTCTGGCGGGTCGGCAAAGCCGCCCCCTAGCAACCAGCTGACAACTCCGACAGCAGCCACCAGTAACACAAACAGCACTGACGTCTGCTAGGCAAGTTTTGGGATCACAGCATCCAAAGGCCGGGGAATTGAGGGATTTATTAAAGGATCCATCAGAGCTTTGTGGAAGACCAATTGGAAGACCTTGTTGGTAGGGCTCGCATTCCTCCCCACGATCAATGACTCCATTTCCGCAGGTATCACTGTGAAGAGATTCTTCTGTCTACAGTTAGTGGTCGGAGAAAAAAAACAATATTTATTTGCTCCGAACTGATATACATGTGACAGGGGGTTGACATTTCTGCGGTGACATTTACAAGTAGTCATTTTCCCTAATGACTTACTTACCTTGAAAAAATGTCTAATGGGGGAATGGGAATAGAATCTACTTGGATTGGGAAGGAGACTGCTTCGTTGGGGCCATAGAGTAGAATTTTATGTAAATTTCAAACAGTGGATTTAGTTCCATTTTTTATAACCTGACTGAAGTCACGCAAACTACATAAAGGCCAAGGAATAATACTGTGGAGCAGACAATTTCAGAATCTTCATCCTAGGGTTCGAATATTTCATATAAACGCAAAAACCCAGGATAGATAAGGGGGTCTATAAGATCCATTTCGATAAAAGAAAAACAGCAACATCTTAATCCGAGGAAATAGGATGTGCTCATTTTCGGCGGCTAAAACATAGGCTTCAATTCCTTTCAATGCTCTTTCTTCTTGTTAATTCGAATTTACATGTATTGATGTTCGATGAAATCAAAAGAATCACTCCATTTAATTTTGGCTGATGTGAATATTGGAAATTCCAGATTCAAGTTCCATTTCCATCCTTTAGGACGAAATTTGTTTGGCACACCAGCAATTGGGGATATATCAACATATTTGAGCTGTTCAACATTGCATTCTGCTATTTTATACGCAAATATTCTTCAGTAATAAAACAATTTCTGTAAAATCTAAGTGGGAAATGACTCTCTCCTGAAATGCTGTTGCCAAGGTCGTGGTGAGAGCACATGGACCAAGCCACAAACCGAGTAAAAATACAATTAGAGTGGAAAACCACTTACTTCCATATTAGATGGGTAAAAAAACGTTTTTTCGTCTATTTCAACAAAAGCTTATTTGATAAGAGGGGGTGTGTGATAGACTTACCTCCACGTGGTGCACCCTGGGCAACGTATACTCATACGGCAAAAAAGTCTATAAACCGACAGTTGACTTCTAACTACCATGACCCCACTGTGTGGTATATTCGACCACTTCCACAGTACCACATCACATTTTTTCTAAATTTTCAACCTTTGTCTTTGAAAGTACCCCTCCTCTCGACTTTTTTTCACTTTGATGTTCTTTCCCCTCTATGAAACCTGAAGTCAACTAAAGGGCTAATGATAACAATCAAAACGCTTGCCATTTGATATAAATATTTGATAAGAGAGATTACTGCAGTACAAACTCAATAAGCTACATTGATTTCAAGAGCATTACCATAGAGATTTTCAAATCTTATTAGGGATGAAAGTATCTCCTCATCGAATGCTATTCTTAACTGCAACATATTGATCTCAAAGAATTTTCGAGATGTCAAATTCTGAGAAAGCAAACGGAAAACCTTCGAAAATAATGACTAACATCAAACGCTTGGAGAGTTGAGATAAGCGAACCAGAGAATATCCCATTTGCCAAAAGAATTTCTTTCAAAAACGTTAGCACAAAAAGTTTCCTTCCCTCCTAAACTTTTCCGATTTTTTTTTGCTTTATTAACGACAATTCCTATTTTTGTCAAGTCATCAACTTATAGTCTGAAATAATTTCAAATTTAAAAACGATACGATGAATTTAAAGAAAAAAACGGAGACTTTTTCTTACGGTTTCATTCCAAATTGAAATTAAAAGAACTTTGTTACAACTGAAACCAGTGGAGTCTCACCTGAAGATTCGAAGATCTTAAACAGGCAGACATTTCACTCAGGAGAGCCAATCGCAATCGAGATATGTCTCCGCGAGAAAAGACTTCATTTTCAGAACAGCTAAATTGCCAAAAATTTATTGATTATTGATAAAATTGATTGGTTCCGAAGTGAAAGAACGGAAACTAACTTACCTGTATAACTCAGGACAGGAGAAAGAATGTATCCCAAGGATTTCTGCTATTGATTTTGAAACCAAAGATGCGACCCGGAATTCGAAGTCGGTGACATTGACCTAAAAGACACCATAGTAATTGTCTAAGTAAATATGCCTTTACGAGTTAATAGCAATTTAATTTTAATAATGACACAGCTTTTGAAATATTTTAAATGAAAACTAGCTTCGTGTTTAAATTATAATAAAGCAAGTTTCATTTATTTCAAACTTTCAAAATTGAGGTAGAAAATAAAAATGGTCTTTTCTTTAACTCCCTTTAAAAGAAATAGACAAAGTTAGATTTGAGCATGAAACATGTTTTAAAAGTGGTTGAACCAAAAAAGATATTTTTGTTTAAAAATAAGACCTTTAAATCGTTATTTTTGCAATTCTTCACTCGAAAAGTTAAGCGAAGTAAAATACAAAGAATTTTGCTGATTCGCAAACCAAGGTTTATATATAGGCTAGCTCTAATCATTGTAACAAGGATATATACTACTTAAATGCCAGTCAATTGATCAGTTTATAACATGGCCAGAGTTATCTTATGTAGACATGTGAATTCATATAAAGTACAAAGTCCATAAACACGTGTCAGCAAGCTTTCTCAAGTTAAACGCATGGTTTTGACTAGACCAGATCAAACATAAACTATCCAACTGGATTCAAAACACGAGAAAAAAACCAGAGTTAAACTTGAAGAATCCCGAATTTAGGCAAAAAAGAACGCCATCGAAACTCAAAATTTTCCTCCCCAACATCTAGTAATCCATTCATTATTCCCAGTTCAATCCTTGATCGCATCCCTAATTAATTTGTTATGAACATTAACAATCAATTGCGTCATAACAAAAGCAGATGGAACCAAGGATTTGTAGTTAAATGCGAACACTGTCGTTGGACAAAGGTACCATTTGCACATCTAAAAAAGTTTGTACTATAGGTCAAAAAAATTTAAAATTACACTAAAAATGAAATTCAAAATGAGCAAACCTGTTTTGGATAAAATTTCATTTAGTATGCATTTTAAGTAAAGAAATCACACATCGAAAGTTCCATTCATCCATGCATTCGAACGGGGGAGGGTGAATTTTGTCCCTTTCACCGTTGAAGAGCTTAACTTTAAAGAAGGCCAAACACTTCAAAATTTATTATTTATTTAGTTATTTCAAATGGCAAGCGTTTTGACAGTTATCATTATCCCTTTAGCTGACTTCGGGTTTCACAGGGGGAAGGAACATCAAAGTAACAGAAAGGCGAGAGGGGGGACAGAATAATGATTCACAGATTTAAAGGAGACAGACAGAAACAAAGGCCGAGAATAGGTAAGATAAGTACTGTGAAAGGGGTCAAATATGACATGCAGTCGGCCATGGTAGTTTGAAGTCAGAGGTCGACCGCCGATTTATAAAAATCGACAGACAGACAGACACAAAGTCAGAGAAANCTTCGGGTTTCACAGGGGGAAGGAACATCAAAGTAACAGAAAGGCGAGAGGGGGGACAGAATAATGATTCACAGATTTAAAGGAGACAGACAGAAACCAGGGCCGAGAATAGGTAAGATAAGTACTGTGGAAGGGGTCAAATATGACATGCAGTCGGCCATGGTAGTTTGAAGTCAGAGGTCAACCGCCGATTTATAAAAATGTTGCCGTGTGAGTATACGTTGCCCAGGGTGCACCACGTGGAGGTAAGTCTATCACACACCCTGACCCCCCCCCCCCCCCATTTCAAAATTATACGGAACCAATGTGGGGAGAGTGAGACATTTTTGAAAACAAAGATCCTTAAAAACGCCGCGTTTATTGCATCCAAACATTAAACCTACCTGTAAATGACCAGCAACCCTGATTTAAATAAGTAGTCCACAACAAAATGTAGCAGTTAGTTGAACCTTTAAATTTACAGCATCTTCCCCATAAACTGACTCTGAATTCAACAATGCCAAACCGCCATGACTGTCGCTGTTTCTTGCAGTCCGTGAAAATATTGAAATAGACACACAGCCTGTGACATGGTCGTCACGAGCGTTGTAAACACATAAAAGCGGCGTGAACAAATAACTTCTATTTCAGCGCCTGGTTGAGAGACAGTAAAAGTCTAGCAACAGAGAATACAAGTTTTTGCCAAACTTTTCATTCAACTGAAGCTCTGAAGTAATACGGATCTGAGTGAGATAATCATTTAATTCAACTTGAACCATGCTAGATGCATGGATTTTGTCAAAACTTAAAGAAAATGGTACACCATTTATCGGGACTCATTATTATAGAACAGGGGTGCGCGATAGACTTACCTGGGCAACGTATACTCATACGGCAAAAAAGTCTATTATTCGGCAGGTGACTTCTGACTTCAAACTACCATGACCCGACTGTATGTTAAATTCGACCATTTCAACAGTACTCATCTTACCTTTTCTCTGCCTATGTGACTCTCTTTCACTTTACATCTATGAATCACTCTTCTTCCCCCCTCCCCTCCCTCTCGAATTTTTCTCACTATATTGTCCCCCCCCCCTCTGTGAAGTCCGAAGTCAACTAAAGGGCTAATGATGACTGCCAAAACGCCTGCCATTTGAAATAAATAAATTAATAAACAAATTATTATAGAACTTGATGTATCCAATTCATCTTTGCCTAGTTGTTTCATGTGATAATAACAGGAAATCGCAAATTGTTCCGCACTCTTTAACCGAATTTTTGAGGGAAACACATTTTTCAAGCAAGTTTATGTACCGCCTGTCTATTGACCAAAACGTCACAATTTGACATTTGGATACTTTCGGTAGATAAAGACAGATAAGAAAGGCAGCCTGTAATGAAATACAAAACTTTGATTTGACATTCAATGAGTACGACGATTGCACAATCTTCCTGTAACGGGGGGGGGGGGAATGAGGTTGGGGCAACAGTTTGCTGTCTCTTTCACACCTTTGTATCACTCTTCTGTCCCCCCCCCCTCCACTATTTTTCCGACTTTGACGTTCCTCCCCTCTGTGTGAAGCCCGAGGTCAACTTAAGGGCTAATGATGACCATCATAAAGCCTACCATTTGATATAGATATTAATGAGGATCGAAGCGAAATC